AACGTGGAAAACAGCACTACTGCATATTATAGCCTGCAGTTAGACTCAGTAGCTTAGGCATATCTCAATTGTTTAAAAGCAGTAGCAATAGCAGCCCTGTTGGTAGAAACTTCATCTGAGCTGGTTTTAAGGAATGAACTTCATCTGCAAGTCCCACATGCTGTGGAAAGTCTATTAAATATCAACCAAACTCAGCTCTTTTCAGCAAGTAGATTAACATCTTACAAAATTCTTCTTTTGCCTTCTTCCAATCTTCGTCTAAAATGCTGCAACTTATTTAACCCTGCTGCTCTACTACCGCTACCTGATGATGGCAAAGATCACAATTGTGTGAGTGTAGTATCAGAAATAGTGACTCTTCATGTTTATTTATGAGATATTTCATCAGATAATTCTTAATTGATACTTTTTGTTGATGGGTCCTATGGCAAAAACTCAAGGCAAACTATCAGGACTGGTATGCTGTTATCACACAAAATGAGTTAATAAAGAAGTGAACTCTTCTTCAACTTAAGTCAGCTTAACCCAAAGAACTTGTTGGTCTTACCTAAGCCTATCTTATAGCTGAGGACAAGTCAGTAAATATTTATACAGACAGCAAATATGCTTCTGGAGTAGTACACAATTTTGGGATGTTAAGGAAACAAGGGTTTCTTTCTCCTAGTAGGATCTCCACCAAAAACAAACTCCAAGTGGATGAATTCTTTTTGCTATCCTGTTGCCATCATAGGTTGCCATTATTAAGACCTAGATAGGAAATGTTGCAGAAACTTTCTAAAACCCAGAAATGTATGTTCCTTCAGTCTCTAAATGACAACTGCTTTCTTTCATGTCTTTGTATTAATTTTATGTAAAATGTTTAATCAAGCCTTGTGAACCAGAACTACTGGAATAAGCAAAAAAACCCTGTAACCAACTAGAAAGTATGAAGCCCCAAATTGTTCAAGATATTCATAACTTAGAAGAATGGCAGGACTGATGGAGTCTGAGCACTTGGTTTGTGACGGTAACAGTTTGGATCTAAACACTGATCCAGAAACTGAGTAATGGTCATAAGACACATAGTCATTATTAATCAATAGTGGGAAAAAGATAAGTAAGTGTATGTTTTATTATAAGTACTGGATAAAAACTCTGCTTTAATGAACAGGTTTTTGATAAATTTATGACCTGCTCCCAGATCCCATGGTATCAGAATAAAACTCCTCACTTCTCCCAGCTTTCTGCCTCTTGTATTTGATTGACTGCAAGGGAAGCAGCCAATTTTTGGATCAGGCCATAACAATTTTGACCAAATTCCCTAAAAATGTTTTATTACTATTTTCACTAAAGTAGCATTAAGCTCATAAATTCCTCTGGGAAAAGTTGACATTGTGGTCTAGGTTTTTATATTTTCAAATTTTCTCTTATACCAACAAGTAAAGCTTTGTGGTTTCTTTTAATTATAGATCAGTACATTTTTGTTACACTTAGGCATGCGTATTTTGTTTTTTGTTGCTACTGTGAAGAGAATGGAATCTTTTATGCTTATTTCTACCTCCTTAGTTTCTACGTATATACTGCAGGACATGAGCAATCATTGTAAATCTAGTGTTTACCCACTGCTGTGGGATCCCTTTAATTTCCTCAAAAGCAAGATCTAGGGCACTAATACTGAGATCATCTCCTTTTCTTTGCCCCAGCCTATCCCAGGAGCTACAGGGAACTCTGAAAGATGGATCCCCACTTGCACTGAAAGGTAAGTTCCAGGGGGCACCATAGAGTGAAGAACTCCAGGTGGTTGCAGAAATGCTGAAACTGTGGGGTAAGTTTAAGGGGACAAGAGAGGTGCTTGGAGGTGGAAGGGGGTCTCCTCCTTCCTTCCTGCCTTTCTATGAGTTGCAGAGCTCTAAGACAGCAACCATTCAGTTCTCACATCAGCTCAACCACTCCACAGTGAAGAGGCATTTCTGGAAGTGACTGGCAAATAGATGATTAACAGCCTAATTGCCAAGCCGGGCTCGGTGGCTCAGCCTGTAATCCCGCGCCTTTGGGAGGCTGAGGTGAGTGGATTGCCTGAGCCCGCAGGTTCGAGACCCGCGTTCGAGACCTGGACAGCGAGACCTCATCTCTACAATAAATAAAAAAATCAGCCGGGCATGGTAGTGCATGCCTGTAATTCCGGTTACTCGGAAGGCTGAGGCAGAAGGATCGCCGGAGCACAGCAGGTCAAGGCTGTGGTGGCCAGGAGCGGCCACTGCACTCCAGTTTGGGCAACAGAGTGAGACTCCAACTCAAGAAAAACAAACAACAACAACAACAACAACAACAAAACAGCCTAATTGCTGATGCTGTGGCATTTTGGCCCTATTTCTGGATTTCCTGATTGTGTTATGGGGAAGTATATGTGTGTGTGTGTGTGTGTGTGTGTGTGTGTTAAGGTGTGTTGGGAAGGGGTGTTGAGGAGTCAGAGGGAGCCTACTACTATCACAATACCAAAGATATGATCTGAGACTTTCCCAAAAAGTACTGTCTTGTAGTACAGCTTCAAGTTAGGATTCTTGGACGTCTAGGACACTGTTTTCCATTAACTTAATGGGTTGCCACAGGATAGGGCAAAGAAAAAAGAGACTCCTGAGGATGAATGAGATGCTGAGTTTAGCTCAAGAGTCTTGGAATCTTGCTGCTTCATTTTGCACGTGTGTGTAGGGAGATGGCCTGGAAGGGGATGCTATTAGAAAAATCCATTTGGGAAACTGAGGGCAGTGGTGCAGAAAGACACATTCAGTTTAGAGAGAAGTTGAAAGTAAATCACACTAAAACACTAATTGTAGTAAATTCTGCTACAGAAATGCTGAAGTTTTTGTTAAACTGAACCTTTGAGTATTTCATGTGTTGTTATATGCTGAAATGCAAAAATGTCTGGACTTGCTGAAATAAGCAACTAAATGAGGTTTTAGAAGGCAGCAGCTCCTTTATATTAAACACCATGCTCCACTGGAACAGGCTCATCAACTTTCTGAGGTCATTCACCTCCCTAAATCTGCTGCAATTTCAAGTCTGGAAGAGGAGTTTGGAAACAGCCTCCTGGTAGGTCAGGCATGAATGGAGAGAGAGGTGTGCATCACCCTACCCTGCTCCTCAGCCTGGAGAGGCTCTGTCTTAGGTGGCCTCCTGGAAAAGCAGTGTATGCCGTGCTGCTGGCCTGCAGGGAGGAGAGGAATAGCCTACATCTGTCCTGGGCAGAACATCTGACCAACGCCTCCACCCCTCTGCACGTGGGTTTGGGCTGCTCGCCTGGGGCTGGGTCGCCCAAGTCTGGTCTTGAGCAGGTTTCCACTGAGATGTGCGCTTTCTCTCCAGACTCTGGCCTCCTTCCCAGGGAGCCCCTGGCTCAGGTACGAAGATCATGAGGTCACTCATGGTAAGGCATTCCCAGTATCTTCAATCAGGAAGCTACCTGAACTTGTTAAGCAGTCTGGGCTGGTGTCTGGTGTTGTACATTTAGGACTGGGGTTGCAGGCTGACCCTGTGGCTCTGCAGAGGTCTGCAGGTCCCAGGGGACACTCATTCTTTTTAATGCATAATTCACTTAAGAAGAGAGCTGAAACTCCTGCTAGCCTAGCTGAATACTTGGGTATCTGACAGAAATCTTACAAGACACTGAGTAGGGTCCTCAGGGTTATACTTGGGAGGGACAAGGTCAAATTACATGGTGGCAGAGGAACTAGAAGGGAGCCTGCATCTACAAGCATAGTCATGGACCTGCCTGGGCTCAGGAAAGAGCTGGGGCTGATTTTAGGTAGCTCTGTTTGCTGCCACTTACTATCTGGTGGCAACACACAGAGCTTCCTGGACGTCTCTGAGTCTCTGTTCTGCAATTAGTCAATTAAGGGTGCTCATTCCTGGTTGAAGAACTGCAGGGTGAACTTCATGAAATGACAATGGTAAGGATCTGGCAGACCCTGAACAGTAGTGAGGACCCTCCATAATGAAATTACTCTGCCATCCTCCCTACAATTTCAGAGAGATGCTTGATTCCTGATCCTCACCGTGCTGTGCAGTAAGGCCATTTCTGGCTTCCTTGTTTCCCATCCTTATGTTCCCTCCACTTGAGGCACCCATTTTCACATGCCTCCATCTTACTCCATCCCTCCTGTGCTGAGTGGACTTCTCTACTTGGGTGTCTCACTTGTTCAGTGCATAAGGCTGCAGTGCCTGTATAAGGCTCTGTGACTGTCACTGGGCTGTGGCAATATCAAGAGGCACCATGAGAAATCAGATGGAGAATGGGCTTCTGCACAAGCACAGCTGGAACTGACAGCCCCATGCAGAGGCACAGAGCTGGGAGCCCACTGCTGGAGGAGTCCTGCCTGCCTTTGACATCAGCAGTGCCCTGCCAGGTGTCAGCAGGCCCCACAGCAGTTTCCAGCCCATTCCTCATCAGCAGTATCAGAGGCTTTCAGCCTGAAAGGCCTTCTAAATGCCTAACCACCCAGGATCAAGAACCTATCTTGGCCTGATTCAGGAGCTATGGCCAGTACAGGCCCTCACTACAGACCCTGAGGACCGGACTGTCCTCCAGACCCAGAATGTGCAAAGGATTGGATCCTGGGAAGCATAGGGCAGTTCTTAGGCTAGCAACTGGCCCACAGGAGACTCAAAACATTAGACCTCATTGATAAGTTACAAGGAGGACAGACATAACAATTTAGTCCTCTCCATGGTCCCAAGATGATGACACAGGAGGGAATAGTTACCTCCTGGTAGAACTGGTCATTTTTGCCCAGACAACCTTGTCACCACACCCACCAGCACTCCTGGCACCCAGTGACCAGCAAGGGCGACACATGGATGCCATGTCCAGAAATGGTCTGGGAAGCCCCATGGGCACCATTTCTCCAGGTCTTGGGTGTTTTTCCATGGCGGACACCCTGACCTGGCTCTCCCCACAATCCCAGAGGGAACTGCCAAGGGCAAAAGCAGTGAACTTCTGCCAACCAGAAAGATTCCCTGCTTACCTGGTCCCTGCGCTGACACCACATCAGTGACACCTGGCTGCAGCTTGGATGGAGGAGGTCGCACAAAGGACTCAGATTGCCCTGGAGAGCAAAGTGGCCATGAGGAAACAATATGGCCTGAACACTGTCCCCAGGAGGCATCAGTACCCTTTACTCCCACAGCTCTGTCCCTAGCAGCATGCCAAGACAAAGCTCCTGTCTCCCTTAGGGAAGGGGCCTGGCAGCCTCGCGTGTTTGGTGGGTGGTCACTGTGGGCCATAGGATTTTAGAATATGGAAGAAAATAGTATTTTCGGTATAGGCAAGAGAGAAACCAGGTGCAGATTTAGAGAACATGAGGTGGGCACTGGGACGTGGGCAGGAGTTGGCAGAAGGTGGGTACAGGGAGACCAGCATTAGGGGGAAACACAGAGGAAGGCAGGAGAGAGGACCATGCTCTGTTCTGGGACAGGTGCCTGAGACCAGAGCAGAGAGAAGAGGAAGGCAGAGAACAGGCTAGAAAGTGACCTTGGACACACGGTGGGTAGTATCATGGCCCCACAGCACGGTAGTTCAGCCCCCTCAGGGCCCTGGTGTGGGTAGGGTGGAGCCCTACCAGGCAATCTGGTACAAGCCCCTGGCAGGTGACTTCCTCCCACTAGAGGGTGTGTGTTGGTTTCTCTATGCCCCACACTCAGGAGCCAGGTGGACTTGGCTTCCGCAGTTGCCCTCTGAGAAGCCAAGAAGCTCTCAGGAGGAAGCAATGGGGTCTGACCACAGAGCCAGTACCAGAGTGGAAGACAGCAAAACCAGGCAGGAATTTTGTGGTCTTTCTCTCTCATCGCAGACCACCCAGGATTTTCTTCATTCTTGTGGCAAGGGACCCGTGGCTGCTACCTGGCTGGCTTCTCCTCCCAAAGATAGGCCGTAGGACTTTCTGGGCGAAGGTTTCCTCAAGTGCTTTGCTGTTGTTTGGATTCCAGGGCTCAAGTTCACAGGTGACTTGTGAGGGCACTTTTGGTTTCATCTCAACCCCTCCTACCCGCAGCCCTTGTCATTCCATCTCAGCAGAGGACAAGTCCACTGGGTGAGTGCTTTCCTTGCCTCTGCCTAAGCATCATGCTCCCAGGTTGGCTGGTACCACCAGCTTCTCTACAGAGTATTCATGGTGTTAAGATCTTGGGTCAGAACTCATTATTTCTAATTATTTATTTTTTTCTGACCTGTGTGGGTCTCTGAGTGACTCAATCTGCACCTGCAGGCAGGTGGTTTGATACCCAAGTCATGGCTGGAGCTGGTGGCAACTCTGTGAGAACCAGAGTCTGGTCAGACGTCACCAGCGGCCACTAGCCAGAAACCTGAATCATTCCAAATAGTGCTGGGACTGGCCTGTGGATGGAGGGGACAGGAGCCCTCACCTAGCTGCCCTTCCCTGGGGGCTGGGTTGGATGGGGTTCCGGATTTCCTCTAGGATCAAGTGATCAAAGTTCAGTGTTCTCACAGCCTGGCCTTCCTCCAGGGCCTAGGCCTCTGCAAGCATGACCTGGGCTACCCCTTCTCCTCCCACAGCCCCAGCCTGGCAATCGAAGCCCCTCTCCACTGTCCCCTTCTCACCTGTATCCCTCTTATCCCGCACACTCCTCGGCACCCACAGCAACAAATAATCACAGAAGGGCAGGTGTTTACAGGAGGGGGAGGCGGTGGAGGCGGGGGAGGTGGTGGTGGTGGAGGATTAGGAGGAGGTGGTTTCACCTCTTCTGGTTCCTATGAAGAGAAAAAAACAACTGTCTGCTCCCTTGTCTGGTAGCTCCTGGGGCAGGGACATAGTATCCATTGCCTCTGCACCAGGCACAGCGCTGCCACTCCGCAGGTGTCTGTTGGTTGAAGGAAAGGACACATGAGGGGCACACACACCATAGGGAGCCTCCTCCATGTGAGAAACACCCAAACTCCTCCTGGTTTGCACATATGGCTCTTCTCCTAACTGTCAACAATGTCATTGCTGTCCCCTTCATTCTCCTAAGGCCACCCTTGTCAGTGGAAGCCTGTCCTGGAGGCTGTGCAATGGTCCCAGTATTTGCAAGTGACCGTTCACGTCTGTCGGGTTCAACTTTTGCAGATGCTGCCTCCCCAGCCCACCTGCAGCAGCACAGACACCAGGCAGGGAGGCCAGTTCCCACAACATCACAGACCCAGGACTTCCTGCTACCTGTTACTGCTCATGGCTCTGGGATGTGTCTCCAGCCCAGGTGAGCCACATCCTGGTCCCCAGCCATTGGTCCCTGTGCTCACCTGGCTGCCCATCCCTCCCAGCTCTATGCCAGTCATGACTCCTTCACCTCTCAGCCCTGGAGTCCCTAGAGGATGTCTACAACCAGGCCCCTCAGTCCTACCAGAGGACAGGGATTCAGACAAATCAAATGGAGCCAAACCTACATCCAGAGTCTGGACATGAGGACCAGGTCCCTGATACAAGGCTCCTTTTCCAGAGCTCACTTGGAGTCCAGAGCCCACTGTTGATCCTTTGGGGATCAACAAATAAGCCCAATTTATTTCAGGAAGGACCACTGCAATCACTGCAACTGGACACTCCAAGCGGTGATTCTGGTGACAAAGGCTCATGATATGTGGTGCTAGTAGTGGGAAGGGAATTGTCAGAGTGACAACACTGTGAGTCTCATCCCCTTCCAAGTCCTGCTTTGCCCTTCTGTCACCCTCTTCTTTGCCCAGGTAGGTGGGACGTCGTGGGACACAGGCTTCATGATGCTCTTTGAGAAGGTCAGTGCACTCCTCTACATGTGACAGCATCAGGACCCGAATCATGACTTACCTTTTCTGGCTTCTGCACAGGTGGTGGCTTCTTGACATTCTGGAATGTTCAAAAGAGACAAACATGAGCTGGGTGGGGCAGGTGGGCTCTGCCTCGGCCCTGCTGGACAGAACCTGCCTTCAGGGAGTCAGTCTGGGTGCCCCGAGCTGTGGCCCCCAGGCTCCTCCCCTGTGGAGTCATCAGGGATCAGCCAGGCTCAGGGCCAGGGTCCCTGGAGAGGCCCAACCCCTGTATTCCTCATCCTCAGTCCAAAGCCACATGGAAACAAGAGCCCAGGCCCCACTTCCCTTCCTCCTGGTGAGCCTGTCTGTCCTGATCCCTCCCTGGCCTCCCACACTCAGGGATGAGTCTCCCGTCTTCCTCTCTTCACTGTTTCCCATGCAGAGGTCAGGCCTGCCTGGTCTCTGTGTCTGTGTTCCAGTCTTTCCTCCCTCTGCTCTTTCCTCTGTCTTCTCCAGCTCTCTGTACTAGGTCCTTCCCACCCCAGCTCTGATTGCCTCTGCCTCTCTCCCAGTCCCAGGTGTCTCTGTCATTTTGCTCTTGCTCTGCTTTACGTGGGCACTTGTCATCCTGTGATGGGGGATATTTCACCCTGAGACCCAACCGCCCTGAGACATGGGGCCCAGGACGTACTTAGCAGTGACAGATAAAAGAATGGGAAAGGCACCAGATGTGTGCAGAGATCCAAGCTGGTTTTAAAGACACACCAGCTGAGAGGTCACTGATCTTCCCTTGTCAGCACCATCCATCCTCCATTGGGGCTATCAGGAACTCATATGTGACTCTTTCCTCCTCCCTTAACCCAGAGGCTGCTTCTTGCCCCTTGTCCACCTGAGGCCTCCAGATGACTATCTTGTGTGAGGGAGCCCTAGTTTCTGGGGCTCTGGGGCCACTTTTCTCCATGAACCAAGGCAGGCCTTGGTCCCATGTCCAGGGTATCCCAGGCTAGCTTTCTGTGGGCAGCCTGGGGAATGAGACCTTGTAGAAGTCCAGGCTTTCTAGGGGCCAGGAATGTGTGGACAGAGACTGCTTTTTCTGGCTCATTGATGGCCCTGGAGCTGATGGGATACTGCCTATGCAGGATCATGACAGTCACATGACTGTGTCCTTCGGGCAATGGGCATGTGCCTGGTCCTAGAACTGGATGGGAGGGAGCACTTACCCTTTTACGACACAGTCGCCAGACACAACACAGCAGTAACGGGCCAAGCAGGACTGGCCCAAGTGCAAATAACCAGCGGCGGTCAAAGCCCTGTAGGAGAAAGAGGTCATTATGAACCATGTCAAGCAGACAAGACAATGACAGGGGTTTGGGGAGGGCCTAGGAGCCCTATTTATGGTGCTCATCACTTGGCATCCCATCTGGCCACTCCCCCCTTCTTCCCTGTGGCTCTATGTCAAGAGACACAATGGGGCTAGAGAGTGGAGCTGATCCCAGGGAGCTCCAGATCCCACCTCTGGCCATGCTCACAGACTCTGCCCAGAGCGCTGTCAAAGAAGGCCTGGAAGTCTCCCTGCTCTAACAAACCCATCCTCACTGCACACTTCAGACCCGGCTCAATCTCCCCATATCCCCCTTTTCCTGCTCAGGCTCTGCTACCTTGGGCACACCCATTCATTGCTCTGAGCCTCAATTTCCACATCAATTTACAAAGGAAATGAACATCTCTCCTGAACATCATATAGACCTTGTGAAGTTTATAAGATTCAGAGGAAGCTCTAGCTCAGAACCAGGTCTGTGTGGGGTGTAAGCAATGGAAACTATTCTCTGGGTGTTCTTCACAACAAAGGGATCAGGGCTGACTCTGGGAACACAGGCTGCCCAGTCCTTCCCTAAACCCACATCTCTGCTGGAGAATGGACGGAAAAGATGGCTTGTGTGGGGAACAGGCTGGCTAAAAGGAGAGGCACCATCTAGGCTGACTGAAGGCTGCTGGAGTCTAAGGGCTGCTCCTGAGTTCTTTTCTAAATGTGTCTGTCACCATCAGGCTGTCAACTGGTGGATTCCTAATGACCAATGTGTGGGTTCGGTCTGCTGATCCATGCATGGATGTGCAGAGACAAGGGAAGGCAGACTCAGAGGGAGAACTGTCAACACTGGTGGATCCTCAAGCTGAATGGATACAAGGAGATGCAAGTAGGCTTAGGACCCCCTCCTGTCTCTCTGACATGCCCTCCTGCCATGCTGCCCTTGGCCAAGTTGCCCACAGGATGTGAAGCTCTGGAAAGCAGGACAGGAAGCAGAACCTTTGTTTCCAGGTCCCTCTTTGAGCTGAGCCCCAGGCCACAGCTCTGATGGCTTCCCCATTGGCAGAGGAGAGAAGCATGCTGCAGGGGTCAGAGACAGTAAGCAGAGAGTGACAACTCAGGGGCGAGAGGCAGAAAGGAAGCTGAAGACATCTACTTCATGACGGCAGGTATTTACCAGGCAGGCTTGGGGAGTTGGGGAGTCTGAATGGGTTTAGGGACAGATAAGCAGCTGGGGCACCCGTTCGGTGGCACACACATCCTGGCAGCAGATGGTAGAATACTCCAGATTCCTTGACCTGGGATACCCATATAGAGGGCCTGGGGGCCCCAGAGGTCCTGGACTCGAGTCCTGACAGACAGCCTCCCAGCCTCATCCACTCACTCCAGGTGGAAGCCCGGATGGAGCTGCCTGAGGTGCCTATCCACACAAGCTACTCCCTGGAACTTCTCTGAAACCATCTGCCTCTTTAGCTTCCCCAGGGATGAATCTCCTTCCAGTGTAAAGGTTCTGTACAGTGCCGATATGTGTCTGCAGCCCTACCCTGGTACTCACACAGACAGTGCTGTTAAGGTTGACGTTGTTTGAGATGAAAGTGATGCCATTGTTCAGGCTGACTTCAACAAGGGCATTTCTAAAGCACAGAAAGGGCAGATGATGAGAACCAACCTGGAGAGATACTGGTCTTGCCCTTGGCTCAAATCATAGCTCACAGCTCTCCTCATGCAATGAATCTGAAAACCCAGCATTCAGAGCTCCCAGAGAGTAGACAGAATGGGGAGCTCATTCTCCAAAGCACTATGAGGCCAAACTCAGCAATGATAGCCGAGGGGATGTTGGTCGGGCAGTAAGGGACCCTGAATGCAGTCTGATGCCACCATGACCATGGCCTATGTGACTAGGGAGGACTGCTTGGTGTCACCATCTTGACTCTTCTGTATTTATAGAGTCTGTTGACTTAACTCCATAAAGAAACCTGGAGGAAAGGTACCATTCCTCAGGCAAGTCATCTCTCACATCTAGCCCTCCTCAGAAGACTCTGGGCCACTGCGGATCCTTGAACATCTTGAGGGCTACCAACAAAGGCAGGTGTAGAGGGAGCTCTTAGCCCACCCACAGACAAACACGTGCTGCCCCAGCTTAGGGGGAATCTCAAATTCTGTACAACCTCATGGTGTAAACACTGACCACCTGGGCATCTGTCCACTAGGGCCTCCTATCAAGGGCACTTACAGTCCAGGTTCCTCAAACTTTGGTCCAGGGCAAGTTATGGATTTCTCATCCATGCTTATTGGTTTTTCATCTGAAAGGAAATGACATGGGAAGTATATCAATGGACATGTCCATTCACTATCCCTCTCCCCCTTGCCTGTCATCAGCAAGCAGAGCTGACCCCGTGGTCCATGATCAGTGTCTCAGCTCTGCTTTCCTCTGTTCAGAGACCCCGGTAGACCCATTCTCAGACCCTGTGCAAGGCTCTGATGTAGCCTGGAACATGGTAGGTAGAGTCCCTGCTATCAAAGGACTTACCTTTTAGGGGAGAAAAGCAACAAAATAGAAAACAAAATGAGAAAACAGATGGCAGAGGGTGCAATGTTATTGGATGTCCATGAGCAGAGGAGGGAATGGGGACCAGAGGGGAAGGGGAATCTGCTTTGTTATGAGTGAACTCTTCTATCTTTTAAAGATGTAATTTCTGTTTTAGAGAAACAAAAATGTTTATACATGAAGTGATGTGAGGCCAGGGATTTGCTTCAAAAATCCGTGGTGAGGGTACCAAGGAAATCATATTGGTGTTGGTTGATAATTATTGAAAGTAGGTGATGGGTACCTTAAGCTCCTAACACAATTCTTGCTACGTTGTATACTATTGAAATTTGCCATGGAAAATAAGTTCTCTCTGAAGAGGTGACATTTGAGCTGACACCAGAAAGTTGAGGAGAAGCCAGGGAAAGATCACAGAAAGAGTGCTCAAGGCTGTGGAGTACTAGGGCCCTGGGGAAGTAATTAGCTGAGCTTGTTGAGGAAAACAGGTGACCCAAGAGGGTTGATGGGTCCTGGTAGGACCTTGGGAAGTCATTGGGGTTCATTCCTAGTCCTATGAGTCTGCTGGGGCTGGACTCAGATTGAGGAGATATTTTGAACATATAGGCAATAGAATTTTGCTGGTGAACTGGATGTAGGGAGGAAGCTAAGAAGAACAAAGGATGACATTTGGGTGTTTCACCAGATTGACCAGGTGGATGATGATGCCATTTTCTGAGACTGCAAAGCCTGAGGAGGGAATAAGCGTTGTTTTAAAAATGTGTTTCCATTTTTATTTATGTGTTTCCGTGAGAGCTTGAAAGTCTCAGGGGGGTTTCATAACTTGTAGAGGTGAAACTTTCTCACTCCTGAGCCCAAATCCTTTTCATATCTGAACTCTGGTAAAGAAGGGAGAGCTTTGCTCCAGCTTTCTGCCTGGTGAACTCCTGCTTCTCAGGCTCCAGACCTAGCAACTACCTGTCCAGTTTGTTAGGAGTATAGACCAGCATTATAGATAAACAAGATTTACAGGATTTTATTGCTCTTGAGAGATTAATAAGAAATCGAATGTGATCTCAAACATTAAAGCATGCCAGATTTTCTGGGACTCCAGCCAGCCACATATTATGGCGTTTTTTTGTGCACGTTAAAACTGATAGTGGAACTACACAGGAAAATTTGGAGCTAAATGATATTTATTTGAACTCTCTAAAAGCAACTTGACACTATAGAGTTAACATGTAGTATCTTCTAAGTTCTCTATCTCTATTTTTTTCCCCCTACATATTTTGAATCTGTGAACTCTTCTACTGGGGTTGAGAGGAACCCACTGCTCATGGCATTCTAGCTAAGATTTTAATAAAAGTCTTAAAAGACTTTCAAATTAATGGCTTTGCAAATTATAATAGCTCCTTAGTAACCAACAACTTAGACACTTTTTTGATATGTAAATGTAGGTTTGCTTAACAATTATAGTCGTAGGACAATTAATTAAGAGATAAATAACCTAAAAAGAGGACACGACAAATGTTTATAAAAGCCAGACTCTCAGATTAAACGGGTCAAAATCTAGAATTCATTGTAGTCATATGAAATATCTCTGACAAAAATACTTTGCTTTGTCTGCCATGCAGGGACCAAAAAAAAAAAAAAAAAAAAAAAAAAATCTGCTATATGCTTCCTTGCCCAGTCAAGCAAACTAGGCCTACAAACAAAAGGAAGATTAAAGCTACTTAAAGATATCATTTTTCTTATATAATTCAACCAGTCATGGCTAAAATGTAAAAATTGAACATGTAACCATAAACTCATTTAAATCTGTGAAAACAAGGGAGCAAAAGAAATTATTTAAAATCAAACTACTATGAGAACTGCTTTACCAAAAATTTTGGTCAACAGTCTTTACTAGATTAGCCATTTGAACTGGTCCTGATTTTATTAGAAATATAATTTGAATCCAACAGGCTTTCATTAACTTTTGAATTTGTATGCTTCATGACTAACATCCTAAAATGAAAGGTATAAAATCTTTATTTGTGTGTGTATTTGTTTAGGTATGTTTAGAGATATGTACATGTATTATGTTGTATACATGGTAAAATCTGACATAGTTGGCCAGAAATACCTTAAAGAATTGTACTTAAATTGGCTTAAATAAATAAGCACTCATATAAAATCTATAGTAATTAACCCAAATGCTTTTTAATTCACGCAACTTAAGTAAATCTTTAATAAATAAGCTGGTTTTTAAATCATTGGCAAAATAAAAATTAAAATGTTCTCAAAATTATCAGCATACATATTTGTCTGGGTTTACTGGTCAGACTATTCTACATCTGCTAAATATTTTAAGTTGTCATTATTTGACAAGAAAGTTATAAAACTATTAACTCAGCTTAAAAACAGACCAATTTTTGTGTCATTCGTTGATAAATGAGACTAATTTAATATTTTTGGTTTAATGAAACAGTGATATCTTCTGAGTTATCAACAAAATACTCATATATTTAACTTTAAGTTTCTCAATTAGATGAACGTCTGATAATCCATAAATGGTTGACAGGCAAATAATTTGAATGGGGCCTGGTTGTATATAATGGTTTTCATAAGTAATCTAGATAAATTTTCAAAAATAAATAAATTAGGCAAATGTAAATGGGATAAACATTTATAAATAAAGTTATTATGTAATTTAAAATCTTAAAGTTATATTATGTTAAATTAATAATACTAATTAAATGTTTAGGTCTCTTCCAAATAAGATTTTAAAAAATTGAAACAAATTTCTGACCATAAATGTAAGTTTTTTCCTGGCTTCTTAAATTTTATAGAAAAACTAAATATATTTGGGTCTATTAATAAACATAAGAGTTACATTATGGAAAAATATGCTTTTAAGATTATAAAATAGTTGTCATTTATGAAATGCTAGTGTGTGACAGTTCAGAATTGCTTGCTAAAAATTAAGGTTACTGGGAGTTAAAATTCTAATTAATATATAATCTGTATATAAAGTATGCCCCCAAATAAGCTGTTTTTAATGATTTTTTTTTTTTGAGTTGTAGTCTCACTCTGTCACCCAGGCTCGAGTGCAGTGGCACCCTCATGGCCACCGCAGCCTTGACTTGCTGGGCTCAGGTGATCCTCCCACCTCAGCCTTCCAAGTAGCTGGAACTATAGGCATGTGCCACCATGCCCAGCTAAGAGAGAAAAAAAACTTGAAGCCATTAAAATGTGTTCTTTATTGAGAAAAAGAATAATTTTGTCTAATTCAAAAGTAATACATATGGTTGTTTCAAAATAAAGAAGCAAAAGCAAGACAGGAAGGAACCAGTAAGGAAGAGAGAGAGAGAGAGAGAGAGAGAGAGAGAGAGAGAGAGAGTGGTAGAGAGTTATGGGTAGGAAGATATATTTTTTGATAAGAAAGGTTTAAGAAAAGATTAATTTTGTATAAGAAAGAATCTTGCATAATACATTTTTGTCCTAAAGTAAAATGATTACTTATATAAAAAAAAAAAGAGAAAGTATAGAACAAGTATAGCAAGTCCAAGCATGTTGTCCAAGGTCTGTGATAATGTTTGTGAAGGATGAATTTATGAAAGAAATGTTGCATATAATTGCATTGACAATACTTGGAAAGGAACTATGTATGAATCTTTATGGAGATTAACCTTTGATAATAAAAATATAGCAATACAAAACTTAAAAAAATTGGTTTTCTATTTAGAACAACAGGATTTTCTTGAAATAGTAATTTGCTCTTAGTAAAATTACAAGAGGCATTACTTAAAATTTTTTTTTAATTTTAAAAATGTGAGGTGCAATTTAGGGTTAGGTATAAAAATGGTCATTGTGTAGGTAACGTTTGGGCCTCATTTTGGTCCCTTCTTCACCTGGATTGAGATCAATTACCCTTACTGATGAGGTGATCCCTACCCCCTGCTCCCATGACAATTTCCCACTACTGCCAATCCCTTTCTTATAGTATTATGATAATTGTTCAGGCTACACTTATGAGTGAGAATATGTGGTACTCAGTTCTTTGTTTCTGTGATAGATCACTCTATTACAGACTCTAAGGCCATCCAAGTTGCTGCAAAGTTCATAATTTTGTCCTTCTTTATGGCTGTAAATGGTGCTCGGAAAACTGACTGACTGAACACATGCAGAAGATTAAAACAAGACCTCTACCTGTCACCACACACAAAAATCAACTCCCAAATAGATCAAAGACCTAAATGTAAAACCTCAAACTATAAGAACCTTTGAAAATGCAGGAGGCACCTTTAGAAAATTGGAACTGGCAGCCAATTCCTGATCAAAACCCCAAATGCTCATAAGATATAAGATAGAGAAGTGGGACCTTATCAAACCGAAAAACTTCTGCAAAGCAAATAAATCATCAAGAGAGCGGGGAGATAGCCCACAGAATGGGAAAAAATATTTACCAACTGTATATCTGACAAAGGTCTAATATTAAGGTATTAATTTTTAATTCTGAAATTTGTTTTTTAAAAGCCATCTTCTAAACTGCAGACTGTTTCTATTTCTGGAACATTTCTTCCTGAGATCCATTTAATTTCGCTAGTTTCAGGTAAGAAAGTCTATCTTTTTCATTTAGAATGGTAATTTCATTTATTGAGATAGAGTTTGCTTCCTGAAGTTTCTCAGATTCATATCCTAAAAGTTAAACTTTTGCTACATTTCACTGCACATGATTTACAGGTCATTGTTTTTAGCTCTCCTTCCTTCTTTGAAAAGGTCTATATTTTTGGTTGG